TATAAACCCCATGATATAACGGATAGTTATCTTTTTTTTGGGGACGATGATCAGTAAACGTTTTACAATCCGGTGTTCACTCTATACAAACCAATACAACTCAACTCATCTCAACGCAATTCAACTCTACTGAATTCAACCCAACGCTCCCAACAAACACAACCAACCAACCCCGCTCGTATAAAAATACTGCTGACATTGGCTACTGCTCGACATCAACTCACAACTCAAAGAAATTCACGACGATAGTTATTATCGAATTCATTACAACTGATGGTTTTGAAGTACTACCAGTGAAATAAGAAAAAAAATTTCCTTCTTGTTGGTGATTACCAATTTATTGTTTCAGGTTAGTGAGAACATGCTCTTGAAGTCAATTCTTATAGAGAGTAAGAGACCTAATTAAGAATAATTCTGTAACGCAGGAAATATTCGGTGACTTCATTATTTTCCAATTATAGTGTTATAAATCGTAAGAATTCAGGATCTGAATGAAAATTACTCATTTATTGAAGTTTAGAAAGCAAAAGAGACGTGAGATTGATAAACGAATTGTATTATATTTTGAAGCACAAAGATGATTCAAATCATCAGCATGAACAGTTTGACTGATAAAAAGCGTCGTAAAATCCTACAATTACCAAAACGTCAAACGATACTGATTATGATGAAACAGTTCCCTATAATTATTTATTAAGATGGCAATATTTGACCGAAAAGAAAAAGATGGTGTAAGACAGCTTAAAGGTTTTGGAGAGCGTTTTCGTATCAATTTTTCAGCGGAGTGATTTTTGCACTGCTTGTACAATAATAATAATTTATCAAATCACAAAAGATGTGGTAATAAGAGATAAATTTAATTTTTAAATTTTGAGATGAGAAACCAAAATCTCTCTTATTTTATAAACGCCAGATGAATAGGATGTTGTAAAGCCAAAAGATAATAAGGATATAAATTTTGTTTGCTTACATGTTTTTTCAATAAAAACAGTTGAAATGAGCGTCAAACATGAATTTTAAATTTGAACGGTTGCGGAAACTTCATTTCTCCACCAGTGTTGAAATTTATGCAGTTAATTGGAATATTTAAAAATTGTCAGCATTCACTAATGTATATTCACTGATTAACATGCTAACAACATTAGCATTCGAATTTATCGGTCCTATAGCGATAACTTTTCTTTATGAACCGTTTCTGCTCAGATACGTGCAAATTTGAAATGTCATTGCGTGGAATTGTCCAACGAGACAGTACATCTTTGCAAAATGCACTTCGTCGCGGGAAGTGGTTGCGCATTTAATGAGCATTTGTGCATTATTGCTGAATGAATGATGGATGAGTGGGTACGGATGTCTCGTGGCTGTTGTCGGGGTCTTTTCTTTCTTTTATGGTTAGTGGGTACTGTACGACATTTGTATCATTACTGAATCAAAGGCCATTGATATTGAGCTAAAGGATACTGTGTACCATTAATGTTAGTATTGAGCGTGGGAAAATTGTCTGGACTTTTTGCTTGCTCTTATGATCGATGGAACTGTATGGTCATTGATTTCACTATTTTGCTTGTTCCTATGATTTATGGATACTATGTGGCCATTAATGTAACTATCACCGTGAGGTATTTACTCGGTTCTTTTGCTTGCTTTAGACAATCAGTTCATTGAGTACTGTTTCAGGATTGTGTTTTCCCGATATCCTCTATTCAGGATTAAGGACTGTGGTAGTCCAAATTATCTCTCTGTAGCAAGTCGATATCCTTTTTTTTACACTTCATATATTTTTATTAACTTTGTGAATAGTTCGATTTAAAAATACATCAGAGATTTATCGGAACAGAAATGTTCAGATTAGAATTATTTAAGCTTTTTTTAGATGAAATAAAATAAGACGTGAAATTTATAAGATACATCATAGTTTAATATATTTATCTGATTCTTTTTTGCAGAAAATGAATATAACCAAGATTAATGAGGGCATGAAAGAAATGGTTACTATGCCAGGCATGTGGTTTCATTCTTTTATAATTTCCTGATAATTGTAATTTCATTGTCATCAAAAAACATAATAGCTCTCTTTTTAGTGCAGTAATTTAAATGGTCGTTCAATGGATTGGATCAAACATTTATTTTCTTTCATTATTTTTTTTTAAAAGAGTTTGAGTATTTATATAAGAGTTTCATTCGGTGAAATTCCGAAATACGAGATACATTTTAGCGAAGCCCCATCAAACACATGGCTACAACCACGCAAACAAATTTCGCATTTGTATCAACGGTTACGAACTGGATACATCGAAAGCTATTGAAAAAGTATATAAGTTTGAGCTGAAAATCTATGGTATAAAAAGTGATGGAAAAGAAAAAGAACTTTATCGCGGTCCAAAAAATGAGTATGCTTTGCGTTCTTGTTCAAGCATTGAAAAAAGTTTAATTTTATTTAAAGTTTAATTTTTTTTATTTAAAATTTTGGTTTAATTTTATTTGAAATTTTATCAAGTTTAATTTTATTTTCCAGCACATGTTTATCATAATTTATTCATTTCATATGTTTTATTTAATTTTTCCAGTGTGGCTATTACTCTTCGGCGTAGAGTTCTTTGGTTTATTTATCAGCAGATGCTGAAAAACTATGAAGGCTTTTTTGGTAGTGATTTAAAAAAGTATTTTTATGATTGTGGAATCAATTTCTATTCTGTAAATAAACTCTTTGATCGTTCCGAGGGTGAAAAAGAATTCAAGATCAGTGTCGTATGTTTTTTTATAACTGCTTTTTGATATGCTTTCTAATCGGAGAAAATTTTGAGATCCAATCTTCAGCTTTGTGATCTGTCTTTAATCCAAAAATCTATAGCAGTAGTTGGCCGAAGCGTTATAAAGAATTCGGGAGTTATTTTTCGATTTTATTTATTTTGAAACTAAACAATCAACATTCATATGTTTTCGATTCTTTCATTTATTTATAAAATATTAAATGAGTTTTACCCTTACTTCTGTGTATTCACTTTCATATCTAAATATCGACGCGGAAAAATTTTCTCATTTGAAATAGTTTTATTTCTAAGGAAATGCTATCCCCGGAAACAAGAGATTACTTGAGTAAGCGGATTACTGGTTTGGTTGCTCGACTGTTGCCATGTGAAGAAATCAGCTTGCATAAGATTACAGCTGTTGCTGCGGATTTGTATGCTCGAGAGCGGTCTCTTCAACAATTTTTGGAAATAGTTACTTCACAAATGATGTTTCATGAGTATGTTAATTTCTCTGTTAATTTCTTTAACAATCATAGTTTCTCAGTTTATACAGAATTTGGCTTATTTCAAGTGAAAGATTTTACTGAAATTACAATACCTTTCTGTAGAAGCTTCATGGTTTCAGACAGAGTCATTTAATTTTCCGCAATAAGGCATATGATCGCCCTAGTGATCATGATATTGGAATCGATGGTGGCAAAGTTTTGACTGCAGGTATGGAGAAGAACGTGCGCTTTGTTGGTAATTCGTGGGAGCAAATGGCGTCTATCGTTCAAATTGACGGTTAAAAATTTTTTTTTGATACAAAGTTTTTCTGCTTTATTTGAGCTGAGTTAGTTTCATAAATTTTATCTGGTATGAATGAATTACAAGACAAGTTTTTTGCGACTTGTATTATTTAAAATCTTTAGCAAAAAAAGCAGCGTTTTTCAAACAGCAACCGTTGGTGGAACTTGTCAGTACATTATGCAACCGAGCACATCCGAAAATGCTTATGGAAGATACTAGATTAAGGACCCGAGTTGCGCGGCAACTGAAGGGTATCTTTAATTGCATGCTCAGTTTGTTGTTATCCAATTCTATTATTAAAGATATCAAGTTGTATTATTAAGGCTCGAATTTATTAACAATTGCAATTTTAGATCTTGTCGTGCGCACAACGCATTTAGAAACTCAACGATTTTTTTCTATTTTTGGAATGACAACTGCAACTGCGGACAAGTATATTAATTTATTATAATTTATGTTGTTCTTTTTTTAATCTTCATTTAATTAATAATATCTTTATATTTTCAATTCTACAACTAACATAAAAGATAGAATCTTCTTGATACAATTAATTTACTGATTTCTGTTATCTGGTTGCATTGCTGAAGTGTATATATGTTCATAGATACCTAAAATCTAATAGTTGTTTGTGATTTCTTTTTTATTTCAGATTAGTGATTCTAATCAACAATCAGGATACAACTGTAGCCGACTATATGTTGTATAAGTACCAACAGAGATTACGCTATCCGGGTTTGCCGTGTATAATTGAGCGACGTGTCGGTGGCAAAGACAAACGTCCGCGCAACAGTTTTCATCCGATGGAGTTCCTCGAAGTTGTTGGAGGACAGCGCGTTGATGCTAAAAAACAGACGCCAGAATTAGTGGGTATTTATTTTTAAATTGTTTTGATGATCATACTATTTGGACTTGCCAATTTTCAAATGCTGGCACAGATTTTTTTTGTTTTGGACTGTCTTGCATTTTATTCTAATTGGTCCAGATCTGACTTTTAGAAGGTAATCTTTGTAACGTTTACGAGCTAGTGTTTAATTTTCCCTCTCTCTTTTAAGAACCACCGAAATTCTAAAAAACCAAGATTTTAACAAAAAGGACAGTGTTTTAACACTGTCCATATTGTTGAAATATTGGTCCTTTTTGACTAGACGTTATTATATATTAAGAATTTGACAATTGTTTGTTTTGTGTTCTTAATTTTTGATGAGCTTTCATCCATGCATTACTAGCGAAGTGTCATAATGTTGGATTTTTTGTATGGCTCCGTATTGGTGCTTCGAAATGTAGATATTTTGTATATCGTTCTGATAAACTAGTCAATCACCTCTTGCACTGTTATATTTGATCGTTTTTAGGTTGATGACCTTATCCAAAATTGTCGCCTTTTACCCAGGAACTTGAAAAGTGAAAATGAACGTCAACGTTGTCGAGCGCAAATTGTTGATGAAAATCCATATCTCCGTAGCCTTGGTGTTAGTATTGTACTATATATATATATATATGCGAAAATTATTACTACTAGTTTTCTAGATATTCTGTCTTGCTCCTTCATCCTTGGTTGTTCTTCCTCCCCTATCGTGGGGAATGATTGTCATATTTTAAATAAGAATAAAATGAAGGAAGTAACATTTTATTTTTTTTCAAAATTGAAAAATATATTCGTGAACTTTTAAGTCAATTTCTAACTATGATATCACATTCATTTCTTAAGTTAGTGACTTAACTTTACGTAATGAGACTTCTCAATAGTTTTGTTTTTATTTGAACTTATTATTACAGATTCACATTATTAATACTCCGTGTGCAGGAGAAGCTACTGTACAGTTCCCTCCAGCAATTGTTTATAGAAATGACAAAGTTGAACCAAGTCCAAATGGGGATCTTAATTGGCGTCTTTCGGTCCCTCGTGGCATGCAGAACAAAATTTTTTTCAAACCTGCCAAAGCACCTCGTCGTTGGGTTGTTTTTATGTTTAACAATGCTGTAAACCAACTATCTGCAGAGTTAGTCTTCAGTTTTTTTACATGATTGTTCAGTTTTTTTTAATACAATTGAGGACAGCAAATATTTAGAGAAATCTAACGGAAAAGAAAATGGATTCTGTTTGTGGCTTTGGTTTTTTTGTTCCTCAATGCTTTAAGGATGGATTATGAAAATATTTTTTTTTTGTTGGATAATACCAAATTTTTGAGATTCCAGTCGCTTTATTGCTGCATTTGTTAATCGCTCCCGTGACCATGGTATACAAATGCCCAAGCCAGCACGTTCAGAAGAGTATAACCGCACTGACTTAAATTTCCTCATTGAGAGAATTGAATTCATGCATAAAAACGGAGTAGAATACATTCTGTTCATTACACGAGACAAATGTGATACTGTGCATGGTAAGCTAATTTTCTTTCTTCCTGACATTACAGCTTACTAACCAAAATTGTAATTTTATTGTCACCAATGCTAAAACTTTCACAAATTGATGGAACTATTACATTCATTTCATTAATTTTCTAATTTGTCTTTCATAAAGCTTATAGTTTTTTTAAATCATTATTCATATTTTCATGTCACTTGTTAAAAGTGAGGAATACCAATCATTTTGCAGTCGACTGAAGATATTTTTTAGATAGAATGAAGCTGACCGAAATCAAATGCAGTATTGTCACGCAGCATGTTAGTTCTAGCACTCTATTCAAAGCAATCAGCAACCGTGGCGCTGAAATGACGCTAGACAACTTGATCATGAAAATGAACTTGAAGCTTGGTGGTATAACTCATGCTCTCACCTCATCTGCTGCTTTCTTGAGCAAAAATCGTCTTACCAACAACATCATGTTTGTTTCATCAATACAGTTTTCGTTTTGAAATTGATTGAGCGTCGTAGCATTTTCGATTAAGGATTGGATATCATTTAATGGTTTACAATTTCTTATAGGGACAAAGAGTGGCTGCGACATAGTAGAATGTTTTTCGGCCTCGATATGTCACATGCAAGGCCACAGTCACTGTATGAGCGACAAGCTCATATCCCACCTAGCGAACCAACTGTCGTTGCTGTAAGACTTTGCTTTTTTATTTTGATTTTTTTTGGAAGTTTTTATCATCCTCATATTTGATCAAATCAAATGTTGTTGGATTTCTATCCACTATACAAAAAAAAAAAGATAGTAGCATCAATTATGCTATATTAGATGACATATTCATGTGGCGAACCATTTGCAATGCAAGGCGAGTACTGGATGCAAGAACCACGCCTTTATATTGCCAAGTTCTTGAAAGAGCGTGTCGAGAAGGCAGTTAGATTGTTTAGGGATACATCGAAAGAGAAACGCTTACCGGAACATGTTCTTGTGTTTCGTAGTGGTGTTTCGGAAGGAGAATACGCGAAGGTAGAGTTGCAAAGATAATTGCTGTAGTTTTCGAACATTTTTTTGTTGTACTGTCCATTTTGTTGTACTGTTCTGACAAGTTGTTAGCATCATCAAGCATTAAAGATAAGAAAGAAACATACTGAGATTTCTGCAACTGTCTTTAAACAGTGGTTTTTTTAAAAGTAGGTTTATGGAATAGGATAAAAGGTTGTGTTCAAACACTGTTCTATTTATGCATATTTGTTTATCGATAGATTTATTACAGATTATAAATGAAGAGGGGAAACAGTTTCGTGAAGCTTTTGTCGCAGCAGATGATGGTCGTGCGGAACGCGTTCGTCTCACAATTGTTGTCATGCAAACTCATTCAAATTATCGCATTTATCCAGAACACATTCAACAGGGAAGTGCCTCACAGCAAAATGTCCCACCCGGCACGATTATAGATGCTGATATTGTCCATCCAACTCAAACAGAATTCATTTTTATTGCTCACAAGTCTGCCATGGTTTGTGAACTTTGTTTTGTATTTCTACTAATATCAACAATACTAATCCTATATCTTATTGCATATGAATTATATAGATGTAGACGTCAAGTCAATAGACTTTACATCTATTTTGACAGTTGATATTTTTTACGGATGGTGATTTAGTAATTAACTGATATTCCTGAATAATTCGATTAACCATTATGCAGGGTACTGCACGTCCTGTACGCGCCACGGTTCTGGTTGATGACGAACCTCGTATGTCAATGGATGAATTAGAGGGTATTACAAATGCTCTCTGCTATGCTCATGGCATTGTCACTTCACCGATATCTCTGCCGGCGCATCTTTATGCTGCTGCTGATCTTGCTAAAAGAGGACGCAATAATTTCAAGACTGAGCAGTAAGTATTGTTTTATATTGTATACTTGGCATGCCTTCAAATTTTGATTTGGTTTATCCAGTAAGCACAGATCTTACATATTCGTAAATGTTAAAATTGATATGAGTGTTAATAATTGCTAGCTGGCGAACTGCTTTTAAAAAGGCGCTCAATACACATCGGATTTTAAGTAATAGTTTAGTAAAAATGTTTATTTTTGAATGACATATGAATACAATTTCGGGGGCTTTAGTTACAGTAGCGGCTTTAATTATTTGTAAGTGTACAGGATCCTTACCATCCTTTTACATAATATTATCCAGAAATTTTGCCGATGATAATGGTTCAACATCGAGCGGTAGTGATGACGGAAGAGTTCATTTTATGAATGATGGTTCGGAGAATTACTTCCCAAAGATGTCTGCAGAGCTTGCTAATAAACTGAAATACAAATTTTGGGCCTGAAATGGGCAGCAAGTTTTAGTAACGATTGTCATAAGTTGAAAATTTTTTTTTTAATTCTGAAGTAGATATATTTTGGTTGCCTAAAACGGTGTAAATAGGCTTACATAGTCTTTTTTTTTCTAAATCCCGAAATATCCATGATTTTTACATTATCTCGTGTTTTGTTTTATTGTCACTTTTTTGGTCTCATTTTTTTATCAACAACTTTACCAGGGTATGGTTTAAGAGATGGATATGTGAGGGTTCTTCTTGTCGTGTTGATGTACAAATACGCGTGATGCGTGAAATTGTAGTTACTCACTTTTGGAGGCATTTTATGTAGAAGACTGAACTAGTTTCAAGTTTGTTTTTTATTTACTATCATTTAAATTTACTAAAGTCTAAAGTGCTTGTACTTTCCGATCAAATGGGGGTATTTCTTTACTCAACGTTTCCGTCTCTTTTATCAATGTTTTTCTGTCATCGGTATTGTGTGCAGTACGTATTGTTAAACTTTTTAACTCTACTGAAATTATAACTAGCTTTATGTTTTCGAACTATTCTTTTTAGTTCTATATTAATAAAAAAAATTTTTAGTTTGCTAAGTTCGCATTCTATTTACATTACCATTATCTCCTATTTCAGTAGCAATATTTAAAGCATGAGCAGTTATGACATTATTAAGAAATGTCTAACATATTTATTGCCCGTCACTGTTTCGTTGAAATAGTCGTGTTGGTTTACAAATATCTTTGGATTTTTTTTTTCGATTAGACGTTACTCAGATTTACAATCTTCAGCGAACGGATAATGTCGAGACAAAAAAATGACTTTTACATGAACCGATATGGTAGTGCTATATGTTATAAGGAAATCAATGAATGCATCTGAGTTCAAGAATGTAGTGTTCTTCCTATTATTAGAATGTTTCATTTGATTATAAATATCAATTACATCAATTTGTTTATATTGCTGCTTATTTTAGGCTTTGCCGGCAAATCAAAACACTCTAGATCTGTTGTGCTGCCTGCGGGTAGCTATCAGTTGCTAAGCTATTATTAAGCGGTGAAATATATTGAAATATTTCTGCTTTGGTTCTTATTTAATTTCAAGACTGTGATTTTAGAAAGTAATTGGATTCCTTCAAACTGGTCGAGAAAAAGAGATCCCTCAATAACCTCACTTTGACTGTGTTGAACGAATAAGACAAAAGTTTCTGATGAAGAGATCAAATTACTGCGAACGGGACGAAAGCTTCCGATGAAGACATCAAAAATATGCATAATAGCAACACTAAAAAACATAATATTTTATAAGCTTTTTGGAAGCTGAAAAATAAATGAAAAAAGAAAGCCAATAAAGATGTGGCTACTGATCCCTCTTAATATCTTCACGTGTACCGTTTTGTTGTTGACGAAATAACTTATTCTTATATTTCTTTGGATTAATGCCATAAGCACGAAGTCTATCATCATTAACGTCAACTATTGAATTAAATTGTTCAAACGTGCTGTGGTTCTTACGATTACGCGCATTTTTTGAATGATTCATCAACCGGTCTCTCTGAAAAATCGCCCTTAATTTCCCAATCTCAATTACATTTCAAAGCTCAGTAAATTTTTTTCGAAAGCTTAGGGGAAAACTTGATTTACCGAAAATTACCATTTACTGGACAATCCATTTTTGAGCTGAATAAACATGTGATGTTTAAAACATGTTGTGGTGTTATGTATTGTTAAAAACTTGACTTGACGAACATAATTTAATTTTTCTATGAAATTAATTACCCCAAGAAACTTCATAACTCACCTCTTGCACCACCATAGTGCTATTTGCTCCTTGTTCTCTGGAGTTCACATCCTCAGGAACCTTTTCACTGCTTTTCTTTGTTCTCTTCTTTTTCTTGTTTGGTATTTTATTCATTTGGCACGTGTATTTCATATTATTAGCACTGTCATTATTTTCAGCCAATTTCTTAGAGTTATTTCTGAAATTAAATTCCACGATAGTCCAAAAATTTACATCTTGATAATCAAAATTCATTTCATTCACGCCTTTATAAGAAAGGGAAATACATTTTCAATTACAAATGACTGAAAATTAAAATATACTTAGTTAAAATTCATAACAATAGATTATAAACATTGTTAACTTTCAATTCGCTGGTATCTTAAACCTCCCTTCCTATGAGATAAACATCGAATAAATATTTACCCTCCAAAATCGGTACTAAAAATTTTTTTTTTCTTCAAAACGTTCAATGCTTTCTTTTTGTAAGCTTTGATATCGTACAATTCTTCAGCCTCTGAACGGTAGGCTGTAGCTTTTTTTAATGATGCCCAAGCGTTTAACTGTCGGTCGTCCGCATTTAATAACTACAAAAACAGTCTTTTTAGCAACACCAAATAGCTCTCTTTTTTTATATCTTTAATATCTTTAATATGGCGTTATCCAAAACCATATCACAGCAATTTACTTCACATATTCCAATATCTAAATTTTGACAACTTAACAGTAAAATATAATTAATCGAATACTGCTACATGACAAGATGAAAGTATGAAATATATTACCTCATCAATTGTTATTCCAAAATCATTAGCTGGCACACTGCGATATTTAAATTTAGTTATTAAGCCATCACCAATTATATCCTCATATTCAAGTGCATAGTATTCGTTGAAATATTCTTCAAACGACTTCTCTTCTGCAGAGAATAGAATTTTGACTCGGTCATAGAACAAACTATAAACAGTATAAAAACAAATTACAAAGTACAAACGATCAGATGCATTAAATGACAACCTGGATTAAATAACGGTTTTTTTTTAAGAACAGCTTCTAAAAAACGAGAATTTCTCTTCCTCTTTTTCCGACTTGGTTTCTTTTCAAGGTCACACGCTCCATCATCGTTACTAACATTTCCAGTTTCTTTTTCTTTTCTTTCTTTATCCACTTCGAAAGTATCGTAATCTGACTAAAGAGAAGAACGAATCAAAGCAGCTGGAAACTGCAAGCGAAAAATAAAAAACAAACAATAGTTAATACAAAATTTAGAAATAGTACTACGAAAGTGAAGAAAGTAGATTTCATTTCAAACTAACATCATCAGTAGAGACATCGGAAGTATCAGAAAAAACAGGCTTTCCTTCATTCTCTTCCATAGTTTTTTCATAATACTGAGAATTGAAAACTTCCTAAAAAACTAAGCATGGCTTCTTCCTCAGAAATCTAAAATTTCAGCACAATAAAGCAATAAAAGAAGGCAATTATCTTCCAGTGTCGTTCCTACAAAACGTTGAAACCGAGGGTAAGTTAAACAAACAAATATGCAGAAATGATAAGAACAGCTTGCCATGCAATAAAAATCAAAGTTGCAAAACAATTATTGAGACGAGGATGACATGGACGTACTTTCATGCGTTTATCGTAAGCCGTAGGATCGAAATCTGCTTCTAGATCATCTACATTAAGTGGAAGGCTGTCGTCCCCAGCTAATTTCTTCAGTTTTTTCAATTTTTCTTCAATTTCTTTCTTTTTTAAAGCTCTTAGTTCTTTAATTCCATCTTTTCGCGCTTGTTTCTCCAATTTTTTACGTTCTTTATATTCGACTCTTTTTTGCTTCCGTCGTTCATCTTTTTTCCGTAAAGATTGTTTTATCGTCCGAGGATAATATTTAATCTGGAAATATTTGTAAACTTTCGTGGACTTAACGTGGGTATTTTAAAAATTATAATTACTTCCCTCTCATATATAAAGAAACCTTTTCAGCCGAATACATGCTCAAATAACCAATTTTCTATTTATCTGGAAACGTAATTAACCTTCAGCTGAATAAAGAAACATGTTTAGCTCAAACTTACATATTAAAGTGAAAAATGCCTTGATAAATGCAAACAATAACTAACAAAATCTTGATCAGGTTCCTCGTATCGAAAATTATATTTCCGTTCAAACTCATTCTCTCTTTCTAGCTCTTCCTCATCCTCTTCGACTTTCACAATCTCTTCATACGACGGAACACTGAAAATGCACAACAAATTATGAGATAATAATGAACAATACCGTATGATTACTAATGGGATTAAAAGTGGCATTTAATTCTATCTATAAAAATGAACTAGCAATAATTATTCAGCACAAGAGGAGAAGCTTACCTATCATCGCCTTCAAGATCATATTTTTTGTTTAATAAATAATCACGTAGAAATTTCTCGCTTTCGTCTAAATTCATATCATTCCACGCTTCTTTGAGCCCTTTCTGAAAGTAACTGAATTATGCTGCTACAATGCAACAGATCTATTAAGATGCAGCTATGCGAAAATTAAAAATATTTTAAGGACAGCGGAAATATTAAGCACCAGTTCTTCTACATCGGGAAGATCTTCATTTCTTTGTCCTTTCAGCCATTCATAATACTGGTCTTCTTCATTTTTCTGAAATAATTACTTATTTACTTACTTTCATTAGTACATATGAGCTTTTTTCAGTAATAACAAAAGAGCAATGAAATATCATAATCTACCAGTTCATCTTTCGTCTTAATACGTTGTCGCAACAATGGCTCCGTGTCATCATCTTGTTCAGCGAGCGCAGCTTTTAGTCTATAATATTTTAAATTAATAAATTAGAAATAGAACCATCTCACTGGTTGAAAAGCAAATCAACTCGGAAGATACAATAAGTAACAAATATAAAATCAAAACAAAATCATACTCTCGTTTTATTAATTCCTGTTCTTCGTAATAGCCAGGATTAGAAGTCTTCATTTCTTCCTCATCTTCAGTGATATCACTGTAAAAGCATATAGTTAGTCAGTAAAAGCATACAGTGAAGCAATAAATAAGATTATTAGCTTAGCAAAACACAAATTTTAATGTGTGCTAAACATGTCAATCTCATTTAACATTTTTCCAACATTTTTCTACTTAACATTTAGCATTTTTTTTTGTTTTCATCCAACTAAAGTAAAAACAAAGGATTTGAAAAAATGTTAAGAACTCTCTAAGAAATATTTGCATTGTAAAGAATAAAACTACTTGTGTTCTATGTATATGAATAAAATGACTTACCCTCTTTTTTCCAGAATAAGTTTTCTTTCGTAATCTTTCAGAAACATTGGAGCAACTTTTTTTTTTAACTTAACAATATTATCATTTGATGTTCTGAAAAAATATATTTTATAGAGTGAAAAATTAGCATGTGCAAGCATTAAGAAATAATTCAGTGCTGACGGTTCTAATTTTATTGGTACATGAATGATAAAACATTATAGAAGCTTATTTAATAATAACAGGTGATTTGCATTAACTGACACTAACAGCGCAAAAAATTAAGTCACTAACCCTTTATCTTCAGCAGTGAAGAATTTTTGACCTGAATACAACCTTGGATCACGGGTTTTCAAAGCAGACAATGTACGAAGGAAATCTTTCTCGTGCTCCGCTGACCACATCTGGGATTCTCAAATATCTTATAATATTCAAATATATATATATATATATAAATACATTAAAATGTATACTTCTTTGCACATTACAAATTGATCAGTTATTATGTAATGACCTCCTTTAATGATCTCAATTATGAAAAAAGAAAAAAGAACTTTACGACTAGCAGCATAAATAAAAGACTTTTGGAAAAAAGCAATTTTGTTTTTTTGTTATGCTACCGTCCGTAATACAACTGTGACTGCATCCACAATGAAAAATCGTAATAAACTTACAGCAGGTTCTTCACTAGACGAACTATCATCATCGTCTTCTGCATCGTCACCATATCTATCTTTCACTGAAAATTGTCAAAAAAACTAAGTTCTGTTCCAATCACAAAAATGTTACAAAATAACAAAATAGCTTTCAACTCTCTTAAATATCTATCCCGAAACATTCGCTAAACTATTTTAAAGAATTTGCTTATAATCTCAATCCCAATCTCATCCCTCTTTATATCATCCAAATTGGCACTACTTATTCATAAAGTTATTAAAACGAACATTTCTGCAATTCCTCTAAATGCCGCCAACTGTCATAACGTTCTGCATAAGCTTTATTAATACTAAGCTTGTCATCGTCATCAGCATCACCATCCAGACATAAATGAAACTTGGACATTTCGTACACCAAATGATACTGCTTCTAGCTAGAAAATAATCTAATCCCACTAGTACTGTATTAATGCTAATGGCGTAATCACGCCGCATTGGTAAGTGACTCAAATCAGTATTCCTTTTTTTTAAAGAGCATAAACACAAGACCGAATTAAATAACGTTTAGCTAAGGGTCTGCAGATCGAAGATCCTAACTACACAATTAAAACATGCCACTTTGTCAAAGTTTATGATTTAAGTAGATTCTATTTTTTCAATATTCACTCCTTTTCAGAGATGGCTAATAAGAAATTACTACTCGTAAATATACTGCACCACATAAAGAAATGTAAAATGAAACTCAACATTTGAAACTTGTTAGTTCGTTATCATACGTTACCAATTGCGACTGAATGAGACAAGGATTCAAAATTATCGGTGATGAGAATACAATTTCAATACTACTTCCAATAGTCCTTTCCTGCTGTAACCCCACGTTATGTTCTCCATTGCACATGATTGTTAAAACCACGGTCCAGATGTGAGTAACACTACTTACTATATAGTTACTCTTCAGCTACATATATACTACTCTTCACCATTGTATAAAAATGAATGTATGTTGCCAATTGAGTAACTGTATAGAAAGAATAATAAATATTACATACGTTCGTGAAATAAATATCTACACAATTAAGACGCTGCAAACCCATTTCAATAGTACATCCCATATATTGATAATATCTTCAAATGTTTTATTGAAAAAATGAAAAATACATATGAACGCCACTATATGATCCAAAATAGAGAAACTATCTATACAACTACGTCGGAATGCCCGAAACACGACATTGATAGGCTCTTTCAAAGTGTGTGTATTTAAAAGATACCAGACTAATAAATCGATTATAATTATACATATAACATTTCCAAAAGGTACAATCATATAAAACCATGTTAATCATCAAGCAAGAAATCACACCAAGTTATTCTCTTTCTCTGAATACATCCTATTTAAAAAATGAAACGCAAAAGTGGAAGCAGAAGCAATAGCGAAATGGTATCCGAAATTCTGGTCAGAACTTCCAACTTGTGATTTCAATAGTCAAAATCAATATCAACTTGAGTGAGAGCGATTTGTGGAATAGATAGATTGCATGAAATGAAAAGACCAATTAAACTGAAAAAATAAATAATCGCCGGTGGTAATTAAACTTTAGGATCAGAATTATCAGCACCGCTTTCAGGTTTCTCCTTATGAACTGAAAGTTGATCATAAGCTGGCGGAGGAGAGTCGTGAATCAGTGGATAATCTGTTATTACTGCTGTCGGTTCCAAAGGTATTTTCTTTGCCGCAAGAGGTTCTGCGAATGTTAGCGGGACAACAGAATGCGTATTCTGCAACGAAGTATTTTGACAATTCATATTAAGCTGTAGCAAAATAAAACAAAATCAATTAACCCTTAGAATACAAAAACAGAAAGTCTGTTTCGAAACACAATCGTAAAATTACTGTTGTAATTAAGAATCCTTACCCTCAGATTCAGATACTTTTGTGACTTAATTTGTTTCAAGATTGCCACTGAGATAGAAAGCATTGAAACAAAACAAAGAAAAAGCGCAACACAAATAAGCCATTGGCTAAGTACTGAAAGACGACGAGCTCGTGACGCTAGTCGAGAAAGAAGCGACGACTCCTGCAGCAAATATTTCAGGTAAAATAATAGTAATATATGAATGTACAATTGCACACAAAGAGTTCCTATATTAATATAAATGAAATTTGTAAAAAGAAAAGAACTCTGAAACCAGCCGAGACCTCCATAACAGTTGGATTTTCGCCCTCATATCCTAGAAGTCGTTGTTCTTTATTCTTCAATTCTACTGGTTTCACCTCCATAATCTTTTCACCATTCTTGTCACTGTTTCCAACGGGAAACCCTAAAAGTTATTTAAAAGACAGCATTTGGAGCTGGAATATCAAAAAAAAAGAAGTGTTTGGAACTGGAATATAAACAAATGTAGAAACCTTCCATTGCATTCTCCTCATGTCCCTCCGGTCTGTTTTTAGCAATAATTGGCATAACAGTTCGTGCACGTTGCAAATTAAAAAAATTCTGAGCAATTTGGTGCAGTCGCGCCATTTCATTCTGCATGTTGAGATGGAATTGCGCAAATGGATCTTCCCAGAAACGATCACCACGTTCCTCTGAGGATGCCGAACCGAACTGCCTAGAATTTGACCAAACTTTTAAAAAGAATGCAAAAAACTAAACCAAAAAAGTTAAAAATATTCACATCTCTTTCATTACTTTATTCTGATGCAATTCTATTATTCCTTGGGAATACAAAACATATGTCAACATCTCTGTAGAGTATTCAATTTCCTTTCGCTATCGAAAAAGTTTTTCGACCAATCAATAAGTTTGTACAAGGAGATTTAGTCATTATCATTATAAAAATCCAACATAATTTGTCACATGTTCGAGCCTAAAAAGCTATGGTTTTATATCTCATCGATCTACTCTATATAAACGCACTCCTCTCCTTTGTTTAATGGACAAGAAGTGAAGAATCTTGGGCTATATATGCGTCTGCAAGTCACCTCGTAATTACGATTATACTATCACCGAATTCACATTTATTTATAAAGTTAAATACAAAGTTAAATCTACCAACTACTTTAAGTTTTACAGCAATACATTTATTTTAAAAATACCACTCACTAGTGAAGGGCTTAAACAGCATGCTTTGTGCCAATTTGTGCCATCAAAAAGAGCGCATTTCCCATTTCTGCTCACGTCAAGTCCCGATGTTCCCTAGATATTTCTCTCCTACATTGTGAAAAATGATTCTGAATGTACTTAAGGAAACTACAAGAAGAAAAAGAAACATTGCAGCCAATAATTGATGAAGCCTAGCAAACTAAGTTCTTATTGTTAATAGAAAAGCTATTTGGGTAGCTAGAGACTTGAGGAAATATTTAAATACCGAATAAAACCATAACTGACGTACCCTAGTGATGGAAATGAATTGCTTATGCGATGCATCATTTTCTCCATTACTCCGCGGGCCACTTGAAACGTAGGACTTTTATCAGTTATTGATACATGAATCTGTAACAAAAGACGTGATAAAAGGTATTTTAAAGCTCTGAATTATTTCAAAATTACAGTCTCGTACACATGAAGAACTTCAATTTAGCTGCGTACGAAAATGCAAACAATGTTATAAAGAGATGCACAAAATTAAAATGAAGCATTTCCTCATCCGTTTCAAAAACTTGTCATTTATTTCTGCATCATTTCCTTCACTACCAGAACTAGCTCTGATATTAAATTATGAAATATATATTAATCATGCTACCTTGGACTTCTCCATATCTGACTTTTCATCACAACCAAATGAGCAAGCTTGCTTCTCCACATCATCACTGTATGACTTAGCACAACCATTATAACAGTCTTCCCTTGCTGATATAACATCACTATTGGATGCGAATGCAAAAATCACTTTTAGACGGCACCCTTCCTTGCATGCGGCTTGAGTCTGAAACTGTGTTCATTTATTAAGAGATGACAATAGCATACATAAATCCTCGATTTCAAAAGAAATTGCTTCTTCTTGGCTGAATAATAATGGTTTAAAGTAGTACGGCATGGCCGCTATGCCTAGTTATACAATCATACAGTTTTTATAATATCTAAAAAACAAACGTTAAAGAAATCAGTAACCTTTTCAGTGGTTTGAGTTTCGGCGCAAACTGCAAAACATTTCTCTTGTGACTGTGCGCCATTGAGAAGTAGCAGGAAAATTCCAAATGAAATTAAACCATACATGACAATGCACTACTTCAGTGATCAGTATGATCAGTAATCACAATACTCAGCAATCCACGTCTGAATGATCGAAAACCTTATAAACGCATACACATACACATATATATGAAAGCGAATAGAATTTAAATAAAAGAGAGAAAATGAACGATCGCAAAAGTTGACATTATGGAAATGCGGAATATACCCATAACCAATAATTAATTATTGATGTAATCCCTACCGGTTACATCAAACAGGTGTACCTATGTGACAACAAAGAGGAGAAATCGATGTCACTGCATATGCATCCAGTGCTGCCATCACTCTATTTCAATGTGTAAACGAAGCCAGCTCCCCCTCCCCACCATTAATCGATAAATCGGCTAAAGAACGATCGACCACTGCAATCAATCCACGAAACCATACTACATTGTGAAAATTCTTTCCCTGCTTGTCGAATAATTATTCTAAATTGTGGCTTAATAATACGATGTACTGCTTCTCTGCATCTCTAATCAATTCCTTATGTTTAGAAAACAGGAATGATGGCAATCTTTCGGCCTGCTGATTCCAGATCTTACAATAGCGCAGTCCGGGCGCTTTTATATCTCTGTGTTATTCAAACAAAACTTGCATTCTATGTTATCAAACAGGACTAACAGAACTATATTGTATATGGAAAGAAAGCCGAAAATTAAGAGTAGATACTGCAATTTGCTAAGTTAAAGCAGTGATAAGAATTGTATCGAAATGATCAAAAAAATGATGGGAGACTCCAACAGTGACGTCGAACTGTTCATGCACACAGTTTGCAAAGACACAAAGTAAGGCAATCATGATTGCATTTGAAATGAAAAACTGAAAAAGTGAGTATCGTCAGCACTTCAAGCATAATGAGATTGAGTTAAAACATCAGTGCTCTGGAAACAAAATAAGCTTAGAAACCATGAGAAGGCTAAGGCAACCGATGAATTCTGCATGCTAATAGTGAAATTCGTAAAGAAAACAAAGCAGGATGTAATCTCATGAGAAATGATATGTTCTTCGCGACCTGTTCTCGATCCATCTCTCTCTCAGTGACCTTTTATTTCTGGTAATTCTATTCCAGGAAGATAAAAATTAAAAACATTTGCTTGTTAAGATATTTGAAATTGATCTAAGAAGCAAATGTTTTTCATACAGAAACTTAAGAACATAAGAGCCGATTGAAAACGGTATCTTAGTATTTTTGTAAAATGAATAAAGCCATTAAGAGAAGAATTTTTTCTGTCTATACATAGATTAGTCAAAATCAGTCCCAACCAATCTAATAATTCAAAAAGATGTGCTACAAAAAAGTCAACTGAAACGAATGAACTCAAAAAGCAAGGCTTATAATGAATAACATATCCAATTAACTACTATCTATGCAATCGGAAATCAAAACGAATTCCTAATAAATAACAGTGAAATGTGATGGGAAGAAGTCAAAACATTATGCAACTTTGCATTTAATACCTTCCTTCCATGTCTCTGTTTTTTAATATTCAAATCCTATTACAATCACAATGACGTTATTGACTATCCTCATTTCATTGGTAAAAATTGCTACTAAAATGTTGTCAAAGGAATACCGCAAATACTATTACCTCCATTCGGCTATCGACATGAAAATACTGTAGCCGAATGAGAAGGAATTAATTTCATACTGAAGCAATCTAATAATTCAAAAAGATGTGCTACAAAAAAGTCAACTGAACAAAACAGCTGGGAGAACATATGAAAGAGATAAATGATCAAAAAATTGCATCAATCTCACTTCACTTCACTTCAAATCACACCTCTTATAGATATATTCAAAAATCACATCGGCAAAAAAATAGCAGTTATTTCCTCCTTCTCAGTTTGAGTAATGAAACAGTCATCGACACACTGCTGATGATATTTTGTAATGATATTACTTCTTAGATTGAATCACCAACAAAAGAGAGAAAGCTATGATACCCGACGTGTTGACAAAATTCGAGAATGCTATCGGACACTGTTTTTAATAAATGCACTCTTCACAGATTTATTATTGTTATCAGTGTCAATGCTTACGCTTAACTTAAATATCTGTCGGCGTTTATCGGTGAGAGCAATATATTACAGCTAAGTTCTCTATCACATGGCCAATTTTATTTTTTTACAGCAAGTAATGAGCTATCTGGGAAATACTAAAAAGTAGATTATATTTAGGATTGAATATAACTGTTATTTAAAGTTATCGGTGCTATTCCTCATTAACCTATTAAATTATGCTAAAGAAATGAATAAATAATGCAGCTTTTTGCTATTAAAGTACTGTCAGCAAAACTGTCACAAAAAGATCAGATCACAATGAAAGTCCACGGAAAAAGAAAGAGGCATTTTATGGGAGTTGATTACAGAAAATGAAAAAAAGTACTGTGGTTTGTAATTGTAATAATGCATCAAAGGTCAAAAAAGGTGAAAAGTCACCTTGTCAACAAAACCTGCAATTGTATGGATGAAAAGGATGGGATGGAACTGATCGATTTTTGCAAACTTTTACGGATGGCTTACAATTCACATTTTCAAACGGTGAAACCATTTCGTGGTGTGAAGAGATCCTTTATGCATGAAAATTGTCACTTGCATTACACGCGAAATGCAGTTTTATTTCAGTGTTTTATACAGAAGCACTTGCTATTGAAATATGAAATATAAATACTAATCATCTTAGATGGAATTCCTCAGATAGAAATAATTATTATAAAGAGAGTAATACAAATTGCACTTTTAACTTTTCAATTACAGAAGAGAAGGGAAATCCTAAATATCTCGAAATATAAACCGGAAAGTTATTCTAATCACGTAGCAATTTAAATAACCGGTCATTACACAATTATCACGTAGTTATTGTCCATAGCAAGCGAACAGAGTATATATATACATATAGTTTAGTGAAAAGTTGGCAGTAGAATAATGCAGTTTTAAATAGAGGAAAATATCAGATCAGGAAAGTACGGTATTTCGGAGAACTCTTACGATCTCTTATTGGTAATCTTAGCAAGTTAAACATAACAGAACCAATATTGATCAATTTGAAGAGCAATAAAATATAATTTAGAGTCAAATGAACTTTTAAAATGAATCTGACGGAATTGTTTTGTCATTCAGTTTGGACTAACGTTTATTTGTTATCATTTTCATCTTAAACACATCCGGAAAGATTATAATTATATCAAAAATTGAATGGACATCGGGAAAACCAGCAAAATCATCGAAAAATCAGTGAGTCAAACAATTCGAAAATCGTTTCTACTATTCGCTTCGAAATATCACAAAAGAAATGCAAACTGAATCAGTAAAAACCATCTATGATAAATTCACTCGAGCTAAAAAGCGTTTAACTAACAGTGGCAAATTAATTGCAGCGGGAAAAATGAATAAACCCATTTGCCCCTAAATTTGCATAACAAAGAATAAAATGAAACAATGATACTAATTTGTCACGTAAAAAAAAGCAAATCTTCAATGATCCAACGAACACTCACTGAGATTGTACGTGCAATTTTGCTGGAATGGAAGGAAGGATAACTCATCCTCTCCCCTCTCCCTCTTCCTGCCAATCGCTTACGTGTCTCTAAAAAAAGAATAATTGCTGTAATACGAGCAGAAGGACGGGAAAGGATATAAATGGGAATTGGGAGAGGGAAAAGAATGTTCGAGGGAGGACGATCGGTTTTGGAAGGAACTCTCATTGCTCATTGTGCTTGCAACTCTTCCTTTAGTTGTTATTAGTAGGTGGGAAAAAAAGATTAATCCTATAGAGGATGAGTCGTCTCGTTGATTTGTCTACTAAAAGATGTCTGAGATACTGAATTCCCGGGAATTATTGGTGATCTTTTTCCATTTGAGCAGACAATGAAAAGTTTAATTTTCCTACTTTGGCATATAATGGTTGATTCAATATATGAAATGTGTACTGCAACATGAATCGCTTAGCTTTGGAAATTTTGGATCTGTTATTTTTTATAATTTTTATCATCATGAAAGCAGTGATATTTTCTGGAACTGTCAGTTAATCACAATTTTATTCAGGCTTATTATTATTGATTAGAAGATCGGAGATGGTTCCACAGCCACAGTGCCAGGTTTGTTTGGATGTGCTTGCTCTAAATGAATGTTCAGCTACACGCTGTGGCCACACATTCCATCTGCGTTGTATCGTACGATGGTTTAAGGTAAAGCATTTTAAATTCCATTTCTCCAATTTATGATTTAGGAAGTCAAGCAGATATTATTTGGTCTGCAGTATATATCCTTCCATGACATTATGAACTGATGCTTATCTACAATAATAGCACGTCTTTTGATATCACATGTATTTCTTCCTATATTATAAGAATTTGTCCTGTTGTCAGCGGCATTTATTGAGCTGCTATACAATAGTACATAGAATAAGAAGCAAAGTATAGGGCAGACAAATTTTCGGAATTTTTTTTAAACAAATGGAAAAATGATTATTTCATTTAGGCCAGTTAAGTAATTCGAGATAAATGAACGGTATGTGAAATACATTGAGATCTCATGTATAAGTATGTCATAGAGACTAACACTCGTTAAAAGTGTTACTTCTAGTGATTCTAATGCCGTATTATAATATCAGTGTCAATTTCTTGGATATTACAGAATTCTAGAGTATGTCCAGTTTGTCGAAAGGAAGTCACACCAACTGATCTCATCCCACAGCTCTTTTTCCAAGTGGAAGATGATCAAAATTCCAGTTCCGATGACTCTCATTTATTACAAATACATTTTGAAGTTTCTTATTTTTTCATCTTTTACCAAGTTACACAGGCTTTCTTTAAGAAATACATCCACTTGGTCATGATAGTTTTGGTACCGTAGTCACAAAGGATATATTTGGGAGTGAGACAAAAGCTTTCTATTTATCTGCCATTCGAACAGAGCGATTTATGATTGCTGAAAAGCTGTATCATTTCCTGCAAAGATAGTTTATTCGGGAAAGGTGGGGTACAAAAAGATTCTAGTGATAGAAGTAAATACATATCATACAATTGTACAGTTACAAATCAATACATCATACTTATACCGGAATATTTGCAGATCCAGAAAGTTTTGGATAACCTCGAGAAGGAGAAGCGGGATGCTGCTACAGCCAAGAATAAAGCTAATTTTTATTTGGCTGCAAATCTTTTGTTGGTAATATTTGATTATGTCTAGAAAAAAATCGAGCATTTATTGAGATATAATAAATAGCTCGTATGCTGCTATATTTTAGGTTTCAAAAGAAGTATTGGTGAAGTTGATTTTATTTATTCCTTACTTCCATATCAAGTTCCTATTTTTCTTTTAAGAAAAATTTTCGGACAACTGGGCTGTTTCAAGTTCAAAAAAAGTTTATTTTGCAAATTTCTCTGTAACAATTCTAAATTTAGAAAGAAAGAATCTCGGATTTGGAATCAGCTTTTCACGATGATATGCAAAAAATCAGACATCTGGAAAATATAGTTATAAAACAGCAGAAAATCAATAACGAGCTACAAAAACGATTGAAAATAAATACATTGTGAGTTCTTTTGCACCATTGTTCTGATACATTTTTCAAAATTTAGAATATTTTTAGATAAAACATCTAATGCACCATCAGGATCGTCTGACTTGTACATTGACAATTTCACTCTTTGATAGTTCGATTAAATATTATGTTCGCACATAGTATTTTTCAGAGCTGATGTGGGAGTCGCAATTAAATTTTTTGGAAGTTAATAAATATGTTACCAATGAAAGATTAGAATTAAACAGTTATACTCCTCTGTCTCCTCATGTTTCCAAATTGTAAATGTATTAATAGATATAAATAATAAAATTGTTAAACCTTAGTTTTGATAGATGCGGAGCTTGCAAATACAGTCACGATCAAAATGCCTGTGACTTTCCGCAGTTTTGGACTTGTCCACATGGTTGTGCTGTTTCACAGTATTTCTATAATCCACACTTCTTTCATGGATGATATCTTTTCTATTTTTCAATTTACTCAGATTTCTTTTTCAACTTGCGCAAATTTCATTTTTGTTGAGCATTGATAAAGTTGCTGACTATTGACCCGCTAAAAAATTCTGTTATTTGATTTGATTTGAAATTTGTGGTTAATTTTGATTTGTGCCACACCTTAACAGAATGCTACATTTGATAGAGTCGACCCATAATTTATTATAGGCAGATGAAACAGGCCACGGAAACAGCTGAAAAGCAAGAAGAAAAATCTCAAAAAATATTGAAGACAATTAATGAACTAACGAAAAATGTAAATATATCGTTATTTTTTTTCTTTTCGCTTCGCGTCATTTTATGACCCAATAAATCTTGATAGTAATTATGTCAGATGCTAAATAATGTGGAAGACCTTAGTATGCAAAATATCGTACACTTACATACATTTACTCGCGCATCCATATACTTTGGCCGTAGATATTTTTGTATATTCTTTCTTTTCATTTCAATTTTCTGTAATTACGTTATGATTTTCAGTTCAGTGAACATCTAAGCCTCAGTGCACGATTGAGAGAAAATCTTGCTTTTCCTTCAGAGACAGTTATGGATGCAACGCTCGACGAAGTTATTGTTTTTGGAGTAATTTAATTATTTACTTTTCTTTTCTGATTGTATACTAAAGTTTACATTTTGCCATTCCTACCTCCCTCAATCTTTTTTAGGCCTCAGTGCAAATTTATTAAAGAATTAAGGGCCAGATTACTAGGAATGTTTGACAAGAAACAGACACTTGACATATTGAAATTGACATATTTTTCTTGCAGTTATAGGTAGCATTCATTTTCTCCATTTAGAGTGAATGACCATAAAGTGTTACCAGTCAAACAGAATCTTACATAGATTCATTAAAAGAGCTGCTAATATTAGCTATTAAAGCAACTAATTGTTCTAGCAGTAGAACGGTTCAGATCAATGCAACTTAAATTATTAGGATCATTTCTCATAAAATATTTAAAAACTTAAAGCGCAAAATTGCGTTAACGGTTGTAAATGAAATTCCGGTGTTTGATTTCTCTGCCTTTTTGAGATTTCTAAGGTTTAACTGCATGATAGTGCTGTTAGCTATTTCCAATTTAAGTTTTTCTGATAAGTTTTCATAAGATAATTTATTAAGCACAAAAAATTATATTATATTAATAACATCCAACAATCATTTTAAATATAATACAGTTTGATGAGAGAGCCGCGAAGAACGACGCGCAAGCGAATATTAAAAACAACATGGAAGAAGTTTCTGTGCCTCCTATTATTTGAAATTCATACTATAACGTTGTCATATTTTATTGTAAAGTGTAATCAAATTTGAAGAATAGAATCACGTTAGCATGATTTTGAAGAATGATCCTATCACTACATATTAGTTTACAAGCAGCACTTTCATACTAATTATTATTAGTTCTCAACTTTCTAGGAATCACGCAACATATAATACAAATCTTATAATGATCAGCATGTATTTGTCTCATATCAGAAAAAGTACAAAATGTAAGTTGTAGATTTATGAGAAAGTAGAATGATAAATGAGCAGAAGGAGGAGGAATTTGATTACATATATACACCATCTTTAAAAAATAAAATTTCAAGTTTTGATGTGTTTGTTCATTGGGGCAATAGATTGTAGCAGGAACTGTAGCAGGAATAAATACAATATGCACAAAACGAGTAGCAACAAAAATACTGAATAATCACAAATTAAGAGTAATTTGCAAAAAATCTTGGAACTATTCGATTTGGTCAATTTTCAATAAGATAATGAAATAAAATTTTTTTTTATTGCCTTACTTAGATCTCCATTTACTGAAATGATGTTAATGACCCACGTTCCCGAAAATAAATCAATAGTTCAACAAAATGGTAAGGTAGTGATAACAGCTCACATAGTTTAATACCCTTGACCATAGTGATTTGAAATCAATGCTTGCTTTAGAACAGTGAGTGGGGAAGCACTGATGAAGAATCAGGAACCACTCAATTGCATAAAGTTGGAAGCATAAGCAATGAAAAATCAGAAGCGGAAGTTGATCTCATCGTTATGAAAAGTATTGATTGAGATCGTTCCATCAAAACTAATATTAAAACTAAGCTTTTTGGTCCAATATATATGCCAGCAAATAGCTTCTTGTAATGTAAACTAATTAGAATGTAGATTATAAGTCTATTTTATGGCACTGGTATTTTTATGGTCGGCTTTCAAATTATGGTGTAGCTAATTGCAAGACAGATGTCATACTAATAGTTTTTCAGATGAACGAAGTTATAGATGTGGTTTTCTCGGATAGAGCAAAAAAAAAGTTTTATATAAGTTATCACGGAAGGGATCACCGGGTACATAAGACACATTTTACACTGCTCATTTCTTTTAGTGCAATAGGAAACACTAAAAAATGTTCATTCTAGATCTAACGGAAGGAAACTTAAAGCTCGGCATTTTTCGGCACACGCACATGAAGTTTATAAGAATCAGAAGCTACGTGGCACCTTTAACGCTATTATTAGAATGCAGCGACCAAATTTTAAATTTCCCGATCTCTTCTATTTTTACTTCTTTACTATTCATATTGGCACAAATTAGCCAATATGGATAGTAAAGAGGTAAAAATAGAAGAGATCAGGAAGTCATAAGAATGGCACAAGTTTTTTAACTGATAGCGATATATAAAGATTCAAACACGTACATTTGGACGAATAAATTCTGTTTACATCATAGATGAATGATTTATAATGATTATATAAAAGCATTACAAGCAAGGAAGAAGGTACCCACTCAGAAATTTTTGACGCAAGTCGATATCACAGGTAGGTTAAGCAAATTTAAAATAACCGAAAAAGCGTGGAAATGTGTCTTTAAAGTACTTATCATAGCTGTTTAGTGTTATTCATGTGCATAAAGTTATTTTGCTTCTTACATATCTCAAAATAAGCATCGATATTTTTTTTTTTTTGAAGTATTTAAGTCGTAGACGTCATCCGAAAAAGTTATGAGAAAAGGTGAAAAAAGGTTTGATTAAGCGGTTATATAACATTAAAATTCAAGGACTGCTTGTAGATTTTTTAACTCCGTTAGCTGCAAGCAAGAAGTTTGCTAAAACAAATTTTATAATCAACAACAAATTTATCAAAAATCTGCGATATTTTTTCCGCTATACACTCATGTTATCACTCAATTTTAGCAATACTCTGTCGGTAATTCGAAGTATGTTTACTCTTACGATCTTTAGTTGATAATATTATCAGGTTCAGTAAAACAGAATCAATATTGATCAATTTGAGGAGCGATGAAATATAATAAATCTAATTTAAATTGGTAAAAATAAATCCAATTTAAAGTGAAATGAGCTTTCAAAATGAACCCGATGGGATTGTTATCTCTGTAATCTGTTGCCACTTAGTTTAGTTTATTTTAAATTAAAACGGTGATAAAGTTGAAGATAAAGATATTAATTAAATTTCTGTTTTTAACTAATGGTTTAACGATGATAGAACTGGGAAATGAAATCGTTGATTAATTGCGTCCGCGTAGTACCGATGAATTTAATAAACGGTGAACCGATAAAATATGCAAATGGTGGCGATCAGCTGATCATAATAAGTGGATATCACGCGGACGCAATTAATCAATAAGAATTTATAAAAATCAGATGAGAAATATGGATTGAAATTATTCACTCCTCGCAATCACAAAGTTCTTTCTGAAATATTATTTATTCATACAATATTTCTGCAGTCTAACAGATTCATCATTAGAATTTTTAAATTAAACTGCTTTATCCGGAAATAAACTGCTCCATTTTTACAGTGAGCAGTTAAGACATAATCTTAGGAGTGACAATTTCTTTTTTTATGTTTTTTGAAAAGCGAATGCCGCGCTGTCAGTTTGCAAGAAAAATGTGAGACAGAATGAATGCTTCAGGGACATTCTGTTACAATAGGATCAATGCCGTAGATGCGCGCAATATGCAACCAACAGTGTTATTACTTTTACCGATCTCCGATAAAGAAATTGTGATGTGCAAAGCAAAATATCCAAGGTCATTGTTGATAATTTGCTTTTAAATTCATCATATTTTGCCAATACTGCGACTACTATTGCATGATTTAAGAAAGTAATACATTGGTGTACTCTGACTCGCAGATACTATCCTGATATATGGTCTCGCGATACTTTTTTGTTGTCAGTAAGGAGGCTTTTGAAGGATTTTGTCTTTTTTTAAAAAATAGTTTTAGATGTCTAACTGAATTGATATTACTTATATATTTTTTTGAATCCTTTTAAATGCTTAAGTATTTTATATTTAAATGCTTTATATCTTTCATTTTTAATTCCTTTAAATGCTTAAGCATGAATTATCAGTCGTGTTATTGTTTAAGGCGAAAAGATAAAGAAAACTACAAGTGCGGAACTAAGAAATAAAGGATAAAGATGGAAAAGGAAATCGGAAAGTTAAGATTTGAAAGAGTGGTTGTTCTTCTCTTTGTGTCGACGAAATGTTAAAAGAAATTTACCTTTTGTCTCCAAAGGATTCGCTTGTTGCTCAAGATTAAACCAATATTCTACTCGCAATTTCTCTCCTTCCACTACTCTCTTTTATTGTTCTTAAGAATATCCACTTTTAAATTACTCTTCGATATTTTGACTTGTTTACCTCTTGTTGTATTTTCGGTCATTCTAACAAGATCTCGTGCAAACATTAAATAGCAAATAATCATTCTCGACATATATACTCAAGTTTTTCAAATTCATGAAATCCAAACTAATTCTTTCGCTACTCGCTTGATAATATCTAGTAAGATCAATAGACAGAATTTTAGGAAGAAAATAAAAAAATCTATTAAGTTATTTTACACGAAAGTATCATATCAGTTGAACAATATTTACTTCACGGGTTGCGAAACAAATAAATTTTTTTAAAAATTTACAATTCCCAAATTCACCCAACTTCAAATTTTTTATATTCGGAAAAGATCATCCAAAACTTACTTGTGACTTACTACTTTTTGCTTTTATTCCGTTAATATTTGGAGTGCGAGAATTGATATTCAAATTCAATTTGCATTGAAATAGGTTAACACATGTAAGCTATAGTATGACTTTTTAACATTCCACAAAGTTTAAACTGTAAATCGACAACATTTGTTCCCTTCCAGATTTTTTCTACATGAGACTCACTTTGAAAAGACAAAAATGGCAGTTTAAAATAACATGGCGTAAACATCTTTTTTATCCTGTCCCTTCAGTTTTCACGTTTCTTTATTAAATTTTTTTCTCTTAAAATCTTTTTTTATCCTTTCATTCTTCTGCTGCTTTAACTATTATCAAAATTTCATAACAGTTTTATCCTATCATATCTTCCCTAACATTCAATTTCAACATTTTGATTCAAACTTTCAAGTTTTTAGCTCTAATTTTTAATTGCCTAATCTGTATTATTTATTTTTGCGAATTCACATTGTTATTGTATAGGCCTTGGATTCATTCAAAGTTTAACATTAACAGTTACAGCGTTCCTCTTTGCAAGTGTTCCATAATGTTCGTTGGTATTTTTTCCTGAAACTCTTTTAATTATCATTTAAATTTTAAATTACGTATT